CGGAGATCAACAGGCAGCCAGTGCAGCTCGCAGAGGATAGGTGTTACGTGGGTGAATCGAGGCACACCCACGATCGCTTGCGCGGCTGCATTCTGGACTAGCTGAAGTCGCCGAATACTCTTCAAGGGCAGCCCCATGTAGAGCACATTGCAGTACTCCAGCCTAGAGGTCATAAGGGCACGAGTGACTGTTGTGAGAGCCTCCCGGTTCAGGTAGGGGCGCAACTGGTGCACCAGGCGACCTGGGCAAATGTTCCCCTGGTCACAGCTGACAGATGGTGTTCAAAAGTCAGCTGTGGGTCCAGGAGGACTCCCAAGTTGCGGACCCTGTCTGAGGGGCATAAAAAAGGGTACTACTGTGCTATTTTTTTTTTTAGCTCATTTCATAATTGTAAATCGCTTACCCTTTTCATTTTGGGACAGACATGGCCCCTTTCTCTCTGTAATGACAAATGTCATGGAGGCACCAGTAAGACAAAGATAGAAGGGAAGCCAAACTGTTGCTACAATTGCTTTCCATGCCCTGAAGGGAAAATTTCAAACCAGACAGGTAAGATATACTATAAAGAGATGCTGGTTGTGACCTTCAATCCCAAAAAATCATTCAAAATGCAGGGGTGATTTTCTCTCCCAAAGTCTATTGAAGGTGTGCATAATCTACCAAATTTTAGTAAAATCTATCTACCTTTTTTCAAGAATACAAGTTTTGTTTTCTTTAATTCCAGAACAGAAATAAATGCATAAACAAGAAAAATGTTTAATTGTTAAATCTTCATTGTCTTGATTAAGAAAATGCAAAGGACAGTTTTTACTCCATCTGAAGGAAGAGATTCCAGTGTTCAATGGATTAGATCTATACAAAATGCTTTTTTCCCCTTGTCCCACTCCCAGTTTGATGTTAGATATTTTTACTATCTAGTGGTCCTGATAGGGAGTGGAAGATGGGCAGAGAGATACAGAAGGCAGAGAATAATGTGAAGAGAGGAATTTATAAGACTGGTTTAAAAGGAGGGGGAGAGAGAGAAATAAAACAGTGTGAGGAGGCAATTGTACAAAGATTATACCAAATGAAAAGGGAGGGAATAAAAAAAATAGTAGCAATTTTTAGGAAACAGTTAAACAAGACAAGAGTTCTTCAAACTTTGGCCATTTTAAGGCTTGTGAACTTCAACTCCCAGAATTTCTCAAGTAGCCATGTTTGTTTGAAGGATACCAAGATGGCTTCTTTGTCTTGGGCCAAGGATGTGGACTACAAAGATAGAAATCTATCTACATTTCTAAATCATTCCAGATTTTTTTTTTTTGCTAATGCTTTCTTTTTCAGATATGGATGATTGTGTCCAGTGTCCAGAGGATAAATATCCAAACTATGACCAAGATGCATGCCTTCCAAAAGATATAAGCTTCTTGTCTTATGAAGAATCTTTAGGGATCAGTTTGGCCATATTTGCTCTTTCCTTCTCTTTTGTTACAGCTGTGGTACTTAAAATCTTCCTCAAGCACCAGGATACTCCCATCGTGAAGGCCAACAACCGGAACCTTACCTATACTCTCCTCATGTCTCTTTTCCTCTGCTTCCTTTGTACCTTGCTCTTCATTGGACGGCCTGAGAAGATAGCCTGCCTCTTCCGCCAAACAGCTTTTGGCATCATCTTTACAGTGGCGGTTTCTTGTGTGTTAGCCAAGACCATCATTGTGGTTCTGTCCTTCATGGCCACCAAGCCAGGATCCCAAATGAGGAAATGGGTGGGGAAAAGACTAGCAACCTATATTGTTCTTTCTAGCTCTTTTATTCAAGCCTCTATTTGTACGGTGTGGTTGGCAACCTCACCTCCATTCCCAGATTTGGATACTCAGTCAGTAACTGAAAAAATTGTTCTGGAATGTAATGAAGGTTCTACTATCATGTTTTATTGTGTATTGGCTTTTATGGGTATCTTGGCTGTTATCTGTTTTACTCTTGCTTTCCTGGCCAGAAAGCTGCCTGATAGTTTTAATGAAGCCAAGTTTATCACTTTCAGCATGTTGTTATTTTGTGCTGTTTGGTTGTCCTTTGTTCCAACCTACTTATGCACCAAAGGAAAATACATGGTGGCTGTGGAGATCTTCTCCATTTTGGCCTCTGGTGCTGGTTTATTGATTTGTATCTTTTCTCCCAAATGCTATGTAATTGTCTTAAGGCCTGAGTTAAATAGCAGGGAACATCTGATGAGGCGAAAAAAATAAAAAAAAAAACATTAATTCTCTACACAAAAGAGGCTATAATTTTATTTCATTTTTTAAGAAACTGGGCTTAGTCACAATAACATGTTCCATTTGCACAAACGCTATCGGATTAGAATTAATCATAGATGGATTGGAAGAACCATTTTTACAAGTTCCTCACTGGGATGTAAACTTCATAGAAACCTTGTAATAAAACACAATGATTGTAAAAAATATATTTGCAGATGTTCCTATTCTTTCAGCTCCAAATACAAAATGAAATGTAATATAATATAACTAATTTCATGCAAAATTAGTTTTCTTCAAGTTCTAATAAAATACTGCAAATTGTTAGGTATAGTGCTTTAAAGTGAGGTAAGGTAAAGTAAAGGTTCCCCTCACACATATGTGCTAGTCATTCCCGACTCTAGGGGGCAGTGCTCATCTCAGTTTCAAAGCCGAAGAGCCAGCGCTGTCTGAACACATCTCTGTGGTCATGTGGCCAGCATGACTAAATGCCGAAGGTAACACTATTACTTTCACACCAATTGTGGTTCCTATTTTCCTACTTGCATTTTTATGTGCTTTCGACCTACTAGATTGTCAGAAGCTGGGAAAGTAACAGGAGCTTACTCTGTTATGCAACACTAGGCATTCAAACCACTGAACTGCTGACAGTCTGATTGACAAGCTAAGTGTCTTAACCACTGAGCCACTTTTAAAGTGAGGATGGAAGGCCAATTTAATGTGGTGGTTAAAAGCACTGGGGGAAAAACTGGGAGATTGTGAATTGTAGTCCTGCCCTAAGTAGAAGGCTCACTGGGTGACTTTAGAGAAGCTGTTCTTTTTCAACCAAGGAAAGGAGATAAAAGAAAGCCACTTCAAAAAAAACCTTTGTCTACAAATGTTTATTGACTTGTCCATAGAGTTCCCGGGAATCAAGACTGACTCAAAGGCACTTGTGCAGTAGAAGACGTAAGAAATTCATACACACAAAAACACACATGAGTAAAGAAGCTCAGCTTGTCAGGATTGAGACCTGAGCATTATGCAACTATATGAGCTCCTGTTGCTTGCCCCAGCTCCTGCCCATCAAGTAGTTTGAAAGCATAAAAATACGAGTAAATAAATGGGTACCTCTTCAGTAATATAGTTATGATGGCCACATAACCATGTAACATGGAAGATGTCTTCGGACAATGCTGGCTCCCTCAGCTAAGAAATGGAGATGAGCCCCCTACACACATGTGCCTTTTGATGGTTGATTTCTCTGAGTGCCAGGTTTCCATTAGTTGTGTTTTGGTACTCGGCACAGGGGCTAGTGTGCAGTATTGCAGGCTAACTCTGTCCACAGACAGGAGTTTGATCCTGAAGATCTCAAGTTGTCTCAGACTTCCATCCTTCTGAGGTTGCTAAAATGGCAAACCAGATTGTTGGGGACAATATGCTGATTCCACTTAGAGATGGCTGTAAAGCACTATGAAGTGATACTTAAATCTAAGTGCTATGAACATGCAGTTAAGTATTGTACATTCACTGTTTAAATGGTAAGGGTATCTGGAGAAAATTTCCTCCTCCTCTTACTGTTAATATCTTATTCTGACCTAAACATTTTTACACACAAATGCATTGGACTAAACCCCTCCCACCACACAAAACCTTCTATTAAGAAATGCAAATCTGTCTATCTATCCATCCATCCATCCATTATCTATCTATCTATCTATCTATCTATCTATCTATCTATCTATCTATCTATCTATCTATCTATCTATCTATCTATCNGTACATGGGACTCACAGGAGTCTTTTCCAGCACCATAGTTCAAAGGCCTCAATTCTTTGATGCTCAGCCTTTCTTTTGGTCCAACTTTCACAGCCATATATTGCAATTGGGAAAACCATAGCCTTGACTATGCACACTTTTGTTGTCTGGCTCATGTCTCTGAAATGTCTCGAAAATCATTAACTTCTTTCAATTTTTTTAAGCTGCAATGAAATCATGCAAAACAGTCTTGCAAAAAGAATTGCAGAAAGTCCTGCTGAAGTTCCTAGAAGTACTTGGACTCTTCAGGTTCAGTAGAAACCGAAGAAACAGCTTCAAAAATGAAAGTATATAAAACTGTTCTGAGAAAAAAGCATCAAGAGATATTTGGAAAACAATTTCACATATTTTGTGTTTTAATGTGGTTGGAGCATATTAACATTCTGAGGGGAAAAAAATCTTTAGAGGAGTCACAAGGTTCTTCCAGGGCAAGGACCAAGCAATTTAATTTCAAATAAGACATTTGTTATCATTTTAGCTATTAATTTCTCTTGTTGTAGAGTCATGAAACAGAACTATCAACATATCTTGACTTTGGAATTTGCTTTAAAGGAGATCAATGACAACGCTCAACTCTTACCTAACATCACTCTGGGCTTCCATATCTACAATAATGATTTCAGTGCCAGTGTTATTTATCTTGCTTCCATGGAACTTCTCTCCACAAAAGACAAATTCTTTCCAAATTACAAATGTGATGCCCAAAATAATCTGGTTGCAGTCATTGGGGGACCTAACTCTGATGTCTGCCTCAACATGGCAACAATTCTCTGCATGTACAAGATGCCACAGGTAGGCAATGTGAATATACCTTAAGTGTTTAAAAAGGGAAAACATCTTCTTTAAAATTTGAAGCATTTTTCTGACCAGGTTCACCAACAAAGTGAACAAAATATCGACAAATCCAAAAACTTAATAGTAGTGCAGTGGTAAGAGTGCAGTACTGCAGGCTACTTCTGCTGACTGCTGGCTGACCGCAATTTGGCAATTCAAATCTCACCAGGCTCCAGGTTGACTCAGACTTCCATCCTTACTTCCAAGGTGGGTAAAATGAGGACCCAGATTGATGGGGCAGGATATTGACTCTAAACTGTTTAGAGAGGGCTGTAAAGCAATGTAAAATTGTCAGAATATTCATAAACTGGAATAGGACATAGTAACAGGTCAGCCATTGGGGACTGGCTGGAATAGGACGTGGCAACAAAGGTCAGCCAATATATAGGCATAGCAACTAAGTCAGCCAATGAGGACTGTTTGGGAGCTGAGACAGCAAGGAGCCTGACCATGGCTTAGGCTTAGCTTAATTGCCCCATATAGAGGAGATTCTCTTTGTATTAAGCTCTGAACTATGAACTAAATCTGTCCAATCTCTCCTCTCTACCACATTGGAAGAATCTGCTGTTAGTATTGTAGATTTATTCATGTGTTAGCATTTATATAAAGAGGTTAATGAATCCTGCTGAATCAGTTATCTGTGTGTGCTTTCTGGATGTGATTTCTACTGCAAACTCTGACCAAAAAATGGTATATAAGTCTAAGTGCTATTGCTATTAAATAGAAACTCTTCATTCTGGGAAAGAATTTGTGGATTCCATTTTGAGTTGTCTGTTTACTTTGTCATTGAGGTAGATTGTGTCATGTGAAGAGGAAGTAGACATGAGATGATAGCCATATTCATGTAAATAAATCCAGGCAACTTGGTTAGGGAGAGAAGAGACACTTGCCCTACACAAGAAAATGGTAAAAATGGATGAAATGGATTTTTTTTTGTGATTTGAAACCCCAGTGCCAAGCCCGAATTTGATTGGGGTGTGGGATCGTTTGTATCCTTGGGCATTCTGACATGAATTTAGTTTGACACAGGTCAGGGCAGTAGAGGGATGGAGGCTTTAGTCACAACATCATTCCTAACCGATGAGTCAGCCACATTTCAATATCTGGCTGACCGGAGGAGGAGGATAGACATCACTGAGCAATGAGCCACCATCTTGGTTGGTAGTTGTTTTGTCAAGACAGTTGTTTTGGAAACTTGAGAAAACTGAAACTTATATTGGAGTGAAAAGCCCAGGAACTTTAGTGCTGACTTTTCACCAGTTAATGATGGTGTATCTAAATAAATGTGTACTTTGAGAAAATGAATGCCTCAGAGTTCAATTTGTGATGGATGCATTGCTTGGAACCTGACATGCTGATCCAGGAAAATTGAATTGTGAACTATAATCATTGGCATCCTTCAGTTTCGAAAGACTATGGTATTGTGCTCTGGAAAAAGGTCCTAAAGCATCATTTGGTGTGGCTAAAAAGGCCAATTCGAGAATGGCAATCCCTTCCACACTGAGAGCAGATACATTCTGTCCCCTGCCCAGTGACGAGATTTCACTGGTTCCGGGACTGCCTGTTTGCTTCAGCCTGCCGATCAAATGTCTCTTCAAATTAGAGAAGGCCATGCTGTGTCTTTAGCCTCCAAGCTAAGCAATCAGAGATCAAGGTTTCCCAGCTGTTTATGTCCATTGCCAAGGCCTTTGGATCCCCCTTGCAGATATCCTTATATTGCAGCTGAACAATAGTACAAGAATGAAAAACAGAACCAAAGAATGTATTCATCAACAACATGTATGGACAAACATCCATACTTGTTTTTCGTTTTGGAAATATCTTTTTCTGGTGTTCTCTTTTTATTTAGCTCACGTATGGCTCTGCTCTATTGATGGAGAAGCAAACCGAAGGAGTCTTTTTCCAGCAGATGTTCCCAACTGTGTCACTCCAGTATGAGGGTATCCTGAGGTTATTGCTATATTTCAGCTGGAGATGGGTTGGAGTGGTTTACTTGAATGATGTGAATGGAGAGAGATTCATACAGGAAGTGCTCCCTATGTTCTCCAAAAGCGGCATCTGCTTTGACATCATACAGCGATTCCCCCAGCTAACTTTTTCTGTATTTGCTGATCAAATGGTGAAGGAGGGCTTTGAAACATTCCTGGGCATCATGAAAAGCTCTGCAAATGTATTGATTGTACACGGGGAAATCCAGACCATCATTATTTTGAGGATGGTACTTCACTTCTCGGAATTCGAGAACATACCGATGGTAACTAAGATCTGGATTATGACAGCTCAAATGGATTTCACCTCGATTCCCTTCCAAAATGATTGGGATTTAGATTTCATCCACGGTGCGATATCACTTGCAATGCACA